TAATCTAGATTGGTAGAGTTTTCTTACTAGGCAAAGGGACACTCAAAGAGAGGTCTGATCCTCCAGACATTAACCTTCTGGGGCTCTAAGAAATAAAAAAGGAAAACATGAAGATAAGGCAGGAAAATATCTACTGTCTTCTAGGTGAGCCATCTTTTTAGACCTCTAGCACAAAGTAGATGGTAATCACTGACCTCTCCAGTGATTCTTACCTAACACAAGGTACATATACCCCAGTTCACCCCCCCTTCACACTTGTGAGGGAAGATTTATGAAGAAATGCTTGTGAACCAAGGGATTCTGCCAAGAACTTCATTTAAATGTGACCAAACTACAGAAGAATGAAATTCATTATTTTGAAAGATGTTATCACTATGCATAAAAAACACTATGCATATGTCTGCCCTGGTGTTAAAAGTACATTTGTGAAAAACACCAAATTGCTTTTTCCTGAAAATACCTCCATACTGTTGTTGCCTTTTTTCTCTTAGATGTTCCTGCCTCTCCTGAACAGGGGTGTAGGACAGTAAAAGAAGAGACTTAATCTTCCAGTGTTATATTGCTGAGGCTCATAATACTGACCAACTTTAGCTGATATTTTATCTTGTCCTTTTATTTCAGACTGCCTTTACCTATGATTTTGCAGCTTTTTTTCTGACCCCTTTACAAATGACCATGGGGAACAGGAGTACAAACTGTTTGCTGTGACGCCAATACTAATAATATGTAGTAGAAAGAAAGGATTTTAATCTAAAGGAATAAATATTCATATTTCTGAAGATTAATGCAATAGATATTATGTGAATATGCTACATATTATATTCTACATTCATATATTCTGGCAATGCAGAATTTTTAATGTTTCAAATGTACTGAATAGTTCAGTAGACTAGCACGCAGTAAAGCACCTACAGAAATGATGGTTCCAAAGATAGTGTTTCTGGATCACAAAATGTACTTAACTTTGTTTTATTCTACAGAATCATGTGCAACACCTCATTCGAATATTTTGATTCACCACACAAATAAAACTATGTTCATGCCTGAAGATACAATTGAGTATACATGTTTGGAAGGATATAAAACTGCAAATAATACTCCAACTGGTACCACAAGGTGTGGCATAAATGGTGAATGGAGTCCAACGCCCCAGTGTCTTGGTGAATATTGTTGTGTTTGCTAATCAGTGTAACTCTGTATACACTTTGTGAAGATTTTTTATGTAAGACTGTCTTTGTTCTAATTGTTAGTATTTCATGTACTTTTTGTAGGACGTACACTATGTATTAAAATATTTTATCTTTGTAGCTATAGAATGTGAAATGCTGACATTGCCCAATGGAAATTTTTCTCCCAAGAAGGGTAGATACCGCAATGGAGAGGTGGTGAAATTTACCTGTGCAAGCAAATACGTGAGAGTGGGATCTGCCTCTGCTCAGTGCTATCACTTTGGATGGTTTCCATCACCACCAGTCTGTAAAGGTAATTCTTCTGTTAACTTTATTGTAGTAGAAAATATATGAAAATGCCCTGAAGACATCTGTGGACACCTTCTATAAGCCAGTCTTGCTCCCAAGAACAATTATCCCATCTTTGTCTCTAAAAGGGCAGGAACTGGTCCTCTTTGGGTCATTTCATAGAAACACTATTTATGTGAAAGATTCTGACCTGTTTAACCTGTCCTACTGATTTTTCTTAGCTTTAAGCAACAAATTCAATTTCTTTTGTGTTGCACTTAACATATAACTGTGCAGAGCATAGATTTGGTCTCTTGATTTCAGTGAACGCCAGAGGCTGTGGACCTCCACCTGAGATTACTAATGGAAGTATTGCTGGTGACCCTGTGGAACAGTATCAGCATGGGGACAGCGTACAATATGAATGCAACATCGAATTTAAATTGGTTGGATCAAAGGAAATAGAATGTGTTGATGGACAATGGTCGTCATCTCCCTCTTGCATTGGTAATCTGTATAACTCTTACTTGTGAGATGTCTATGATTCACTGTAGGCTAAGACTTTATACAGATATTTTCACAATCAAAATTACATGTTTGCAGGTATAACATGTTACGTTCAAAATCACATTATGGATGAAAAGTAGACACACACTGTATGTGAAGCCAAAACTTTATTAGTAAAATTGAAATCCTATGAGAACAAATAATCATAGAAAGAGAAAGAAAATAAATACTTAATATATAAAGAATAATTATAAATATAGAAATAATATAGAAAATCTAAATAATACAAAATATTTATAATATATAA